GAAAACAATCGGCGAGGCATCAGTGTTCTCGAAGGTTAGCCATGACTTATTGTGATGTTTGCGTTTTACCTGGATTGAATGGGATTATTTTGGGATAGCGAATGATGTGCGAGAGATTGTTTGTTGTTTTTGAGTTTGAGGTGAACTCAGTGGATTGTTTTTGTGTTTTCTACATATGTGTGTACAGGGTGATACAAACACTTTCAGTTAAAGGGGGCTTTTTGGGCTACAAAATAACAGGAGAAGAATAATGTTTCTCTCTTACAAAGCTGATCACGTTAATGAAAGATTTCTCTGGCACTCTCCCAAAAAATATGTTGAAATTAGGCACAACAGGGCGAGCCAAAATTTAAAAAAACAATATAAATAGGTACCTAACTTTTTGAAGTTATGATGAATATTTTTTGTAAAATCAAGTAAAAAAATATCTGAGAAGTCAAATTCAATTGTACTTGAATTTTTTGAAACATTCTCTTTTGATCGATTGCATCCACAAAAATACACTTCTGGGGAAGGAATATACAAGGTGTTTCCCCTTTGAAAGTTCAGAAGGTGATTCGTTAGGCCGTTGCTTTGTGGAAAAAAAAGTTCCGAACCTTAAATGTTCAAGCCTGTCTCGGATATACCTACACAGTAGGTTGAATGGACTGACGCCTATAAGAAAACAACTACTCCACTGGCTAATACCTCGAACGGCGTCAGTGCAAGAATCTTCACAGAAAATTTCCTGCATATGCAATTGGCAATACAACTGAAAGAGTTGATTTTTAATTTTGGAACAGGCACACTTGCAGACCGGTTTCGGGCTCCTTAGCCACTCGTTAGTGCAAGATAGTGACCATCATTCAGACATTCAGACAAATTCAGGCAAAAACTAGTCTGAGTTGCGTGGTTTCTTGTAAAATGTTTTCTGTCGTTTCCACTACAAGAACAGTTTTCATCATACCTTGTCTAGTTATGTTTTTATAATAGGCTGCGGTTTTTTTATAATCGAATATTTAGTCATTTTTTGTTTATAAAAACGACAAGAAATGTCAGTACGACAATGAACATCATTGTTCAGTTAGAATATTCTCATTTAGTTTTCGGTTTACTAGTAGAACGGTACCATGTTAACAATTTTTAAAATGGTCAATTCTCGTCGATTGGAAAAAAAATTGAAGCGATTTTTATTTACGGTGCGACGCGTAACTTTTACGAGACTGAAGGATTTTCAATGAACGTTTTCCGAATCGTCCTATCTGTAGGACATCTGCAGTTCATCCGTCCATTCCGAAAGAACAGCAAGTGCAAATAATTGGTGAGATGGTAGTAAATCCTGAACAGTCTATTTATTCCGCCGCGAATGTCTGTGAGGTACCTCCTTCTACTGTGTGGATACTTTTGAACAGGAATAGGTATCATCCATACAAAATTAAAATGGTACACCAATTAACTGACGATGACTCTGATCAAAAAACAGAATTGTGCGAAATCATGACGGAAACCATTGCAAGGCATCCTACCTATCTCCACAATATTTGTTTAAGTGACGAATGTACATTTTTTTTAAACGGCAATGTTCTCAAACAAAATTGCCATTATTGGAGTGACACCAACCCTCACGTTTTCCGGGAAACACATACCCAATATCCGGAAAAAATTAACGTTTGGGCAGGAATATTGGGAAACCATATTGTAGGACCTCTATTTATTGATCAAAATTCAACAGGGGAACTGTTTTTGAATATGCTGGAAACTACTGTTGACCCTCTCATCTTTGAAATCGTCGAAGCGAATCCTAATGAATTCGATATGGATATTGTATTCCAACAAGATGGAGCACCACCACATCACTCCAGACAAGTAAGAAACTATTTGGATACTACTCTTCCCGGTCGTTGGATTAGCCGTCGAGGTCCTACAGAATGGCCAGCCCGCTCACCAGACTTGACACCCTTGAACTTTTTTTATGGTGCTATTTGAAGCAAAAGGTATACGAAACTGAACCTGCTTCAATATTGGATATACGGCAGAGAATAATAAATATTTGTAGAGATATTGACGTTAATGTGTTAGAAAATGTTCAGCGTGAAATATCGGATAGGCTGTTCATGTGTCAAGAAGTTCAAGGCAACTATTTCGAGCATCTTCTGAACTGACCTCAAGTTTATTACCACATATTATGTAGTTAAATGTCAATGTATTTAGACAATTATCAAAAGTTCCGCCATTTTGTAGTAGTTGAAGATATTGACATTATATTCTAGGGTTGTGAAGTATTTGTGAGGAGCTTCAAAAAGGTGTGTCACAAGACCCCCTTTCCATTTAATTTTTTGTTTCTCAGATGGCGTCCAGTCGCCATCTTGAAAGTTTCATCTGTCACTTTCACTTCAAAATAAAGTATTCATACATCAATTTCATTATCCCAAATTTCATTTTTTTTAGTTGACCCGTTTAAAAAATGAAAGAAGGAGGGACATTAAAGAAATGCACTGTATGCAAAATACTGAGCCATGAATATATACAATTGAATTGGATACTTTCACAATGCACTTTTTAGAATATCTGTCAAATTCTTATAAAAATTGATACGATTGTCTCTTTAAGTATTCAATCTTGATAAACTTTGTCTTTTACACTAAGTACTTTGGATGAATCGTTTAAAAGTTATCACGATAAGATAAGCTTGACGCAAACCATTTTGCATCGCGTCTACTGTAAGACGACGGGAGACGATACGTGGGAGTAAAGGGGCGGTCTAAGCAATGAAGTGCCGTCGCCGAGAACGCGACCAAAACGCGGGCAGTAAAAATATAAATTACTAGCTGTTGTCTGCGGCTTTGCCCGCGTAGAATTTGGTTTGTCACATTAAGTTTTGTGACAGACCAATTTAAATAGATTGTTACACTATGTTTCATCAACCCCAAACTTCAGGTTTCCAACTTCAAAACTGACGAAATTCAATACGAACTTTGAACCCCTATTTTCCCCCTTGGGGGTGGAAATTCCTGATTCCCTTTCTTGATGCTTATTTGTGCTATACAAAGAACCTACCTGCATATGTCAAGATTCTAGTAGCTTCGGTTGTTCGTTAATATAAGAGTGCTGTCAATCAATAGGTACCCACTTATATAATATTGAATAGCATCAGCAAAAAAAACTGAAAGGATTAGAATGAAATATATTGGTAACCTTTCGGTTCAATAAAGTACAATTAAAGAACACTTTACGTTAAGATAAGACACTGGTGACTTCTTCTCGAATGTTGTGTCATTCAATTCAATACTAGCGTATTTTAAATGCGTTTTGTTTGGACTCTAGTTTTCAGCTAGTTACCTCGCTGTAAAAGCTAAAGTGTAAGAGAGCTGACGAATTCCGTTAGCAGTGGCTTTGCAGCTGTCCACCTTGTGGATCTTTGATATTAGGGGATTAAAAGAATCGTCTGTTAAATTTATGGTACATACTTAATTAACACCCTGTATCCATTAAAAACAACTTTAACGTTGAAGCCATAGTTATAAAGTGGATATTTAACGTACTGTTGTTATATTTGGTAATGAATGAAGAATTTTTTGAGAAAAATACAAGATGAACTGTATTTCTTATACAAGTATCATACATATTGTTCAAATAATAGATTTCTGATTTCGAATAATGTCAAAAACAAAAATCTGAAAAAAAATAATCAAAATTAGTGATGTTTCCAAAGACTTTCGAAAATTTTCTGTTTTGAGTATTCCTTGACGCGACTATTTATGACAGAAGCCCTACGCGTTNAGTTCAGAAGGTGATTCGTTAGGCCGTTGCTTTGTGGGAAAAAAAGTTCCGAACTTTAAATGTTCAAGCCTGTCTCGGATATACCTACACGGTAGGTTGAATGGACTGACGCCTATAAGAAAACAACTACTCCACTGGCTAATACCACTAACGGCGTCAGTGCAAGAATCTTCACAGAAAATTTCCTGCATATGCAATTGGCAATACAACTGAAAGAGTCGATTTTTAATTTTGGAACAGGCACACTTGCAGACCGGTTTCGGGCTCCTTAGCCACTCGTTAGTGCATGATAGTGACCATCATTCAGACATTCAGACACATTCAGACAAAAACTAGTCTGAGTTGCGTGGTTTCTTGTGAAATGTTTTCTGTCGTTTCCACTACAAGAACAGTTTTCATCATACCTTGTCTAGTCATGTTTTTATAATAGGCTGCGGTTTTTTTATAATCGAATCTTTTGAGCGAAAGTAGCGAAAGCCAAAAAAATAAATCCAGATACTGGATGAGATCATTGTTAAGAAGAGATGGAACGGATAAAATTATGACAGATTTGGGAAATGATGACGAAAGAATGGAGAAATGAGATCATCGAAATTTATATAAAGTAATAATGTCACATGAAGTCACACACAAAAATAAAATAATGAGCTGAACAGTTACTTGTTGTTGTCGTCGCCCGTTTCCACATAGCGAAATCTGTTTACAAAAACACAGACAAAACACCGAAACCTTTTGATCATTCAGCCTACCGACGGTACATTTCGTTGTTGACAAAAACAGTAGTCCGCGACACAAAGTTTTCAAAATGTTTCTTATTTTGACAACTCAAATTTTTGTTTTGTCGAAATCGACACATCAGTTACTGTTTTATTGTAGTTTTGTCCGTTTAATTTAAATCCGCCTTGAGATTTGCAATTGCTCTTGTTTCATTATATTTTCAACACTTTGTATCTTCTTCTGACTTGTTTTGTTATTTGTCTTGTCACTCAATCCTTTGAATGTTTTGCTTTGGTAGCGTCAGAGAGCAAAATTACCGTAGGCACTGTCATAGTTTTACTAAACGAAAAACAGAAAAACATAGTAAAAGAATTTAAGCCTTCCTCAGTGCTTTGAGACAAACTTCAGAAAAAGTAACCTCTCCTTAAGAAACATCGCATTTCAAATAACAATATTCCTATTGCTAGGATTAAATAAACTAAAACGTATGTCAATTCTTTACGGTTTGTCATTGTGACAAGAACAGATATCTCTCTTACGATTACACAAACTGTAATTTTTTGCAATTTTTTGAATACTGATTGAATGGTATGTGTACCAGAAACTTCGAAGTACACATAGATATTGAAAAATCTCCATGTGAGTGAAATTTAATATTAATACTTCCTCTTATATTACGTTGTGTATCGTTATTTTGAATAATATTCATTTCAATTCCATTATGATATTTGGAGTACAAATTGAATGGAAAAAAGTCATTTTCATACAATATGAGTTTTCTTTCAGAAATCCATGTGCATGATCTGCAGATCTTTGTGAAGAGTGTTAATTGATATATTCAATTACATCTTCATTTCTTCGAGTTTCCCACTGTCTATATAATGATAGAGAAGTAGAAAGTATGTAGCTGTATTAAAATAAATCGGCGCGAAAAGAAGAAATAATTGAAATTTGTAGTTGTCAAACACGTTAGAAATTTATAAACTCAGTGATTTTGTTGATAAGATGTAAAATAAATAACTACTAAGAAAATTGGAACCCACTTTTTCTCCTTTATTTCTCTAGCGATATTTCTGAAACTTGGAACATTGAATATGCTCACTAGACGGCACTTTTTGACATATTTGTCAAAAAAATTCAACTTCCTGCTTTTACGGAAATGACAACAACTTCTGATTTTCAAATGGAACTTCCTGTATATTATCACAAGAACGGTTAGGGAAGATCATGAGGAATCCAACAATAACAGGTTTGATGGTTTTATCTCTAATGACTAAGGAGATATCGCCATTTATTTTATCCATAAGCTCAATGGGTGGGAGAGAGAGTTGGATGGACCCTCCAGAAAAAGTTTATCTGTCCTACTCATTGAGCCTATGTATAAAATAAATGGCGACATCTCCGTAGTCATTAGAGAAAACACCATCAAACCTGGTATTGTTGGATTCCTCATGATCTTCCCTAACCGTTCTTGTGATAATACCTATATAGGATGTCCCATTTGAAAATCAAAAGTTAATATCATTTCCGTACAAGCTGGAAGTTGAATTTGTTTGACAAATATGTCAAAAAGTGTCGTCTAGTGAGCATATTCAATTTTCCAACTTTCAAAAATATCGCTAGAGAAATAAAGGAGAAAAAGTGGGTGTACCATAAGTCTGTGTCACACGGTATATAAAGATCACGACATAAAACTCAATCCTTTTTTTATTTTCGATGGGTATAAATGGAGATTTTTCATTCCACCAAATTTTCTTTCCAAAACACGTAATATGTAGAAAAATCAAGAATTATTCAAGTATGTTATTTGAGTTTTCTTGTACATTTCAATAGGTGCCTTGTGAATCTGGGTAATTTCAACGAGATTCTATAGGCTTTCAGAAGTCAGAGAAATGTTTCCAACCAAAATAAATCTAATTAAAGAAATACATAAATCATTTGTTATAAACCATGTCCACATTAGTATAATGCAATTTAAGATCAACAAATATTGTTCCATAGTTTTGTATCACCCTGTGCACAAGTATTTGATACAGTATCCCAACATTTCCAAACCATCACTTTTTCAGCAGTTTTTCTGATCAACTGTCCACGCAAATCCACAAAAACGGAGCCCACTCAGCCCCCCATATACCCCTCCATCCACCCCAGATCTATGCTCTACAAGCCGATATACGTCAAGGGCAGAAGAGTAATGCATGAAACTCTGATCCCGATGGGGCGGCCCATACCTTCACCACCCCCTGAACCACAAGCGCCCAACCTTCCGGAACCTCCTGTCGAAGAAGAGGACGAAGTAGCCACTGAAGATGGAGATGAAGGGCTGAAACGGCTTCCTATGTTGATTTCAAGGTGATTTAAACTAGGGTAGAACTGTTTTGGGGTGACCAAATGGGCGATTACGTTTTACTTGGAAAAACGAATTGGAAAATACACGTATCGTTTTCACATAACATACGGCAGAGAAATAATGGCAAAGAAAAACTTGTCTGGATAATTCACAAGTTGGATCTGTTTTTAAAGTACTTTTTCTAAGCAGACAGAAAATATGAATCATATACCAACTTTTTATCATGTTGTTTCAAAAGTTTTGTCCGTTTTAATGTCATTTGTTTTTGTAGTTCTTTATCTCAATAAATGTTTATTCTACTGGGTCGTGATATATTATACTGGTTGATAGAGAATTTTGTACTCTATACAATGATGCTGTTAGTTTTTTCCAAATAATGATTTTTTACCAGTTTTCAACTTATCACTATATGATGTTTGTTTGAAGGTGGTTAACAATATTTCGTGGTATATTTCATCGGTTCGGACTTCCACTGACTAATATAACATAAATTAATTTGAAATTCTTGAAAAAATATTAAAA